ACGTCGCTTCCTTGCTTGGCAGCTTTCAGGAGGACATCGATGCCTACATGACCCGCAGATTGACTCGCAATGCTTCGGTGGCATCCAATGCCACAGAGGCTACAGACGCTGATGCGGCAGAAGATGCTGATGCTGGTGAAGGTGATGATGGCTCGTTTGATGATTTCAGGAGATGGTTGGATGCTAGGAACTTGGTTTATCCCGGGCCCGAGCAGCCCGTGCGACTGCCTGAAGCGCCACGCGTGCCCGGAAATCCCTCCTCAGATACTGGGGCACCAAATCCTCCTCCTGATGCTGAACGCGCTGCTGCCCCAACCTTGCCCGCCATCCCGATGCCTTCTGATGCTACCGGTGTTCCCCGAAACATTGCTGATGATGCTGTGCCTGGTGCCGGGTCCACTGCTGCTAGCTCAACCCCGGCCCAACACCTCCTTGATGGGCCTGAACATGCAGCCTTGCCCCCCAAGCCTTTGTTGGCCCAGCCAGCCCTTCAGCGCATGCCAGCAATTTCCTCCGATGGGTGTGCGTCGTGTCGCAGGACGGTGTGTTCCCTGACGTATTTTAAATTCAGATCAAGTTCAGCCCTACTACATTCTGTTCACGGATATACACTCTGATCAATCTAACCATCCTCCCAGGAATCCCGATAGAGAAGTGACAGAAATGACCTGCGATACTGCAAAGTTAGTGCTTGGCTTACTCTTGGCATTTGACGTATGCTCATACCACACATGCTCACGCCCCGCTTCTGCTCCCCTGATCCAAGGTGTTTGCGACAAGATTGCAGCTCTTCGCGCGAAGATTATAGCCAAGAAGCTCGAAATGTCTGATCCCTGGAATCCTTGTGCAAGCAAGCGAGCTCATTTCACTGACGTACTAGTTGTAATATCGAGTCTGTGTTTAACCTTGCATTCAACAGCATGTGGGGACTTGCTTGTACATGCAGGGGCCTTTGTGTCAGTCGTGGTTCTACTACAAAAGAAACGACACGCAGAGTCTAGCGCGCGTGTTCTGCATGTGGATGTGTATATATATATATACATCGATAGTTTATTTCAGACTACCCAAGCTCGTACATACTTCTTCTACTTGTTAATGAGGCTGTCGCGTGAAACATGTATACTGTGTTGGTGGAACCATGTACTATTCAGGTCACAAGGCGCTGCGGGCACGGACAAGGGCATCGTAGAGCTGCCGGGCGCGAAGCCTGAGACATCACGGAAGTTGCCATCAGGATTCCACTTTCATATGCTCATTGCGGTGTAGCAAGATGGCAAGCAGACTGCGCCACCCATAAATGGCAGAGCCTTTTGAGAATTCAATTTGCCATGCCCCCAAGAAACTTCAATCCAGAATATGAAGCTAATCGACTTGTTATCAATTTACGTTATTTGGGAGAGCACAATGATGCAGGCAAGGAAGCTGAACGGTTTATTAATTCACCCATTTTCACCTATACATTCCAAGTAGACGCAAGAGCAATCTCCGGATCAACCCTCCTTCATGGCCATGCTAGCTAGCCTCCTAATTGGAGTTAAATTGCATGACCCATAACCGATAGCCTGTTCTGAAGGACCTACGCACTACGCCCTGGACACTGATGAGACTTACGTCCCCCCAAGCCAGCCCCGGACGGAAGACTCACCGCCTACCAAGACCCCAGGTTCATCCGTGGCTTCTGCTTCGAGCTCTCCCCCAGCCAAGCTTACTGGTCTGTATGAGCCAGCCTCCAACCCAACGAGCAGCTCAGAGTATGATCTTGCTACTCCCAAGAGAGAGGCTATCCCTGAGAATCTTTCCTTAGAAGACATCGGCTATTTGGGCACTCCTTAGAAGGGATTTGGTCGTATATATCCCCCACCCCGCGCGATACATGGGTTTTGCGTAGTGGCGCGGTGTCTTCGCAGGTGGTGCTCAGTCGCCAGGCCCAGCTTGAGATGAAGAACGCCATCAAGGAGGAGAAAAAGGCAGCGGCCGAAGAGAACAAAAAGGGCAAGAAGAGGCCTGCGGAAATGGACGTGCCAGTCGCCACCCCGCTCCGCAACAAGGCAGCTGTGGAGTGCATGGAGGGTCACGAGGAGGCCCTTGAGCATGCTGTCGTGTCTGGACGTGGACGTGGTCGCGGACGCGGACGCGGACGCGGCAAGAAGGCAGCTGTGGAGGCTGACGAGGCCATGGAGGCTGAGGAGCCCAAGGAGGTCGAGGAGCCCATTGAGCATGTCCCGCTGCGTGGCCGTGGACGCGGCAAAGGCCGTGGCAAAGGTGGGCGAGGCGGGCGAGGACGTGGCAATGGGAACGGTGAAGGCACCGAGCTTCCAAGCAACGAGAAGATGAACATTTCTGGGGCCAGCAAGCGCAAGGCTCCAGCAAGTGTTGAGGAAGACGCCTCCGAGGGCAACGTCAAGCAGGAGGTGGGCATGGATGGCGGCGTGTCGCCTGAGATGGTCGATGTCATGAGTGACGGTGTCCCACCTGAGATGGTGGATGATGAGGAGCCGAGAGTAAAGGGCAAAGCAAAAGCCAAAGCAAAGCCCAGCCCAGCAGGCCGGGCCAAAGCTAAGGCTAAGAGCACACCGAAAGCCGGAGCCAAGGCTAAGGCGGCGCCAAAGGCGACGGCAAAGGCGAAGGCAAAAGCGACAGCAACTGCCAAGCGCAACCCAGGCCAGGGTGTGGTCCTCGATATTGACGAGATGGAGCGCGTGGGGGATGTGAAGGGTGAATTCCTCAGGTCCATTGAGGTGTGCACGACCATGCCGTTTGACACCTTGAAGACGCACCTCTTGAGCAAGAAGAACCTCTTCACGCACTTTGAGCTTAATGTCTACTGGACCAGGTCCCAGGTTGGCATTCGATACTTGTCTGAGCCAGGAAAGCCCCAGCTTGTCCAGTTTGGCTTCCAGGGCCAGCCAGCGATTCCCGGGAACTGGAATGTGTGCATGTCCGCGGCTTTCACTGCGGCTCTTCACATGGTTCCTGGGCTTATAGGTCGGATCGATAGCTTATGTAAGAATTACTTTGTATAGGATAGGTGTATATGTAGAGATCATTCACATGATGTTCGGGATTAGCCGAGCTGAGTCCTTCAAGGAATCCCACGTCAGCGGAGTGTGTAATGGCATCTAAATCTCGGCTCCCTTGTATTGTTTTCATTCTTTGCACGTTCTGTCGAAATTGGGTCAGGCTGCAGCGTGTGATCTCTATGCCCGCCATGATGAGATGTTCATGGTCCAGTGGTGGACCCCAGAATCCCGCTTTTCGCGTGGTGTGCAGATCGCCCGTACAGCTGGCCAAATGGCCGTGGATCAGGTTCTTGAAGCTATGGCCCGTGCTGCTGAGAACCGCTAGATGTGGGTCTCAAGGGTTGATGCTGATTGGGCTTTATGCGGCTTTTGTTGTCTTTATAAGAGCAATCGAGCTAGCTAACCTGACCATCCAATGTTAACTGAGACACTTGAAGCCCTGACAGCCTAGCTCAGCGAGGGGTAATTAAGCACTGCCTGGCGAGCAACTTGTCGCCGCCATTGGCCATTTCGTGATCTAGCTTGCTTAACCTTGGTTGCCGTTCGCAATGGATGTGCGGTGACTGCAACCTGCCTGTGTTGATTAGCCGCAGGTGGGCCCCAATTTGGTGTTCCTATCGGCTAAGGGGAGGCCATCAGAAAGCAAAGCAACATGCGTCAAAAGATGCGTCAGGCACAGCGCCTGGAGGTTTCTAGGATTTCTTGCATTTCTGTCTAGGCGGGGTGCTTCAAGGTAATCAAAGTAATTGGGGAGCTTGACACACACATAAGTATCGTGCTTAGGTTGCATATACAATTTGGCATGCTTAGGCACACTTGACACTTACTGGGTTAATTCTATTTTAAAGGAGTATGAGTTCATATTGCCCCCTAGAAAGTGCGTGAGCTTGGCAATCTACATTGCAACGCAGCATGGTGGCTTGATGTTCAGAAGATGCTTTAAAAAGGGAATGAAGGGATGGGGGTAAAGGCTCTATACAGACCTGATATGAATTTCAGCGTACATTGGAAGCTGCGGCCAACCTATATAAAAGCCCCATGCAGACAGTTGCAATTGTAGTAAATCATTATATAGAGTCCCCAGCTCTATAGTGATTTCAATTATTACATATGGCAGGCGCAGTTCCAAACGTGTAAACACATGGGATGTTCTTGTTGTTTCGCTGTTCGTGTGAAAGCAGCCTATTAACCCTGAAATCCAAACACTCAAGGCCCATAACTAGTGGGATAGCAAGTGTATGGTGGTCTCACAGAGCTCCCGGTAAGTCCTTGTGTTATCAACTCCCGCGAATAGTGACCCCTGCGCGACCTCATACAATGTGGCTTTAACGTAGTACCAACAGAGCATGGGGCATATTTGGTGTTATAGGGGGCAGGGAGGGTGCGTTGTAAAGGGGAATTGCATAAGATTGAATATTAGAATTCATACGTAAATGCAACCCAAAGTTGAAGTCATGTAAACCCGCCTGGCAGCAGAAGGACACCTTGATCCAACTGTACTCCGTCCCCATAGCCCTCCCAAAATGATGACAGACATCATCCCTATACAAGTATTAAATATCAGTACTAAGTAGCCCTGGCGTTAACAGGAGGGTCCGCAAGCCTTTCAGCAGCACATGTACTTATTCATGTAGGTTGCAAAAAATGTGTGTGAGTGTGTGTGTGTGTGTAGAGAGAGAGAGAGAGACCTTCTAGATCGTGCCCGAATGTTTTGTATGTTCTTATATCAGTCTTATAAGTTCATACATACTTGGGGTTTGAATTGTGGATACCGCCCCTTCGCACATTCCCAGCTAAAGTGGAGAGCTGCTACTCAACGTCCCGCGTCTAGAGCTCACTGACATCCTCAACGAAGATGAACACTTGATTTGCCTCTGGGTCTCGCCAAGGTCAATGCCACGACGGGGGAGATGCTGGGCCGCGAAGGCAGGTCTCGAACCTGACAATCGTCTATCTGACTTGTTTTGTCGGGGGTCCAAGGTCTGCTGCAGGAGATGCGCAACTTGGGCACCAACAGGGTGGGCTCCCCTATTAAACCAAAAACATTATAATGTATACCCTGGGATGTTTTATATAGTGCTACATATCCCCATTATGCGCCGATTACAACCCACACATAATGCGTGACCCCTCCCTGTGTCCTGGAAGCTCACCTATCTGCATAACGCCGCTACTTTGGTGTCAAAGACAAGTAGCAAAGCTGTTCATGTTCTCTTTGGAGTTACAGCAAGCAGTGGCAGCCGGCAGACGTAGATGCGTAAGCCTGGGATCTGGGGCATTCGCAATAGGACTCCATACCTATCCGGGGTTTATGATTGGTTTTGAGGCTGCTTTGCGACTTACTTTTCATAGCAATGATTTCGCTGCCTCTCTTGGTGTGGCGCTTAAAAGCGCTCCAAGCTCCCAAGGTGACTTTGCTTCAGAATCAACTTGCTAGACTACCGGCTAAGTCAGGCGAATGGCAAACAAACGCATCATGTTCCTCTTTCTTTGAGTGTGCCTGATCTGAGGTGTTTGTGTTGGCAGTGCTTCTGGTCTACTGGACAGACTTTCATAAGGAGCTACCTAGTCCTGAGTTGTCCACTTCAGCGGTGCCGGGTACAAAGCAGGAGCTCTTGGGAGGGGTTTACAAGATACATACATGCTAGCCTTTTTGAGAACATACTTGTCAAGTCACGATTTGTTAGGAGGACGCTGAGCCCTTCGATTGGATTGAATATTTCGCAGGCCATGCGAACGCAACCTGGATGGTAAGGTACTTTGGATTTAGAGCGGCCCGGCTAGATCTCTGCTACGGTAAAGGAAAAGGCCGAGCTGCGAAGGCCATGAACTTGCTATCCGAATCAGGTATGGCGCTCCTCTGCTCAATTAATTCTCCGAACCCACTAATCTAACGGCTCCAGGTGACACTGAAAGTATGCTGCGCAAGAACCCCAAGCCCAGGTGGCAATCGCTGCCATATTACGTGGCAAGCCTGGCGAACTTGTCGCGCACTTCGGCCTCAAGTGCTCCAGCTTTACCCCGGTCAACCAGGCAACAAGTGGCCGAAGCCCTTGCGTGGCCATTGGCAATGTCTGCTTTCCAAGTGTGCGGGATGGCAACGCACTCGCATCGCGGAAGCTTGCTGAAAGTATACAATGCATGTGTACTCCGTCCCTAGATTCCAAGATCAACCGGTTCTCTTAAGCTCCCATAGGTCTGGTAGATGGATGGAACCATGGTCTTGTACAAGCATCATTAAGGACCTGCTGTCTATTGTATCTCGTGGTGGCTGTCCAGGGGACCTTCCTCATAGAGCAGCCAGGAGGAAGTTTCTTCGAGTGGTACCCTCGTTATAGAATGCTGGCGCTCCGCCTTCGAGAGATTTCAGGGTGCGTGTCTGCCTCTTGACAACACTAGATACTTGGAATGTGAGAGGGACTCGGCCTATACAGGAGTTATATTACGAGGGACCCATAATTCAGGCTTTCGTATACATATGCCCCATATAGGATTAATACACACATATCTATACATACCGCCTAAGACTGGCTAAGTCCCCCTGACATTCCAAGATACATCAACAGGACTGGTCGTGCTATATGTACTGCGAGTCAATTCTTGCTACACTTGCGCAGGTTTTGCGTGTAGGATGAAGGTGCTGCTTTCTACCCCTTAGAAACGGTAAAGATTGCACAATGGCGCATCCATATCCTCCAGCCCTGCATGAGCCTTATGGAGACCCATGTTAGTAGCACAAGAGAGTGGCGTAGAAGGTTGTCCTATTTTCATATGCCAACTTTGCGGGTTCTACCATACTTGCCAACTCCTCAACGCAACATGTTCATACCATATATCCCTTGGCACTGCCCCCACTCTGTAACAGTTGGATAAGACAAATATCATATATATATATAATGTACACATGGCCTTGAGAGGACCCGCCCGAACATAGATTGTTACAGGGTGGGGGCAGTACCCAATTATCCCTTTCAGAGTCGGGTGGCCGACGCGCGTTCTGAAGTCCAGGGTTGCTAACCTTAATTGGGGCGGCGTTCTTTTTTGTGTGTTGGATAAAGTGGGGATCCAGGGTCAGAGTAAGGTGGATCTATATAGAAATCAAGTGGTTAAAGTGGGGCTTTTTGACTAGGTCGAGTAATGACCCAGGTCAGGCCTAGGGGCAGTCAGGGAATGCATTTGTTCAGCTTGTAACAAGGGGGTTAATAGGTGCAGTCTTATGGTAGGCTGCACCGATTGTATTTGGGCTACAGTTGGATCCCTGTTAGGCTTGTGGTTGTGGTTGTGTGAACGTACAATCTTGAGAGGCTTTGGCTGGGTAGTTTCTCTGTGGGCCCCATATTCGACAACAAATGGTCCCCCCTAAGGTGGCGTTGTTTTCCAAGGGCCTTCTGAGGCTTGTGTAGCTACTCTGGAGAGCAAACTTTGTGTTACAAGGTTGAGAAAGATTCTCAGGGTGTCTCAGACTCGACCCATCTCAAGTCGTAACATCTCACAATTCCCGTACGCAAACTACAGTGTCTCCTTCCATGCCATCTTATGATAACAACGCTTTCAGAAGTTCCGTAGATGGTCGCAAATCTGTACTACACGCAGCACTTCCCCAGTAAAGCCGTACTAGCAGTAGACCCAGACAAAGACAGCTCAAAAAAATGTTTGAATATATACATGTACCAAGCAACAAAAGAATGTTCCGGTCTTACCGAGATCGAACCCTTACGAAAGAGCATATTGACAAGAAGGTTAAAGGCCCTTAAACCCTTGATGTGTGAGTGTGCAACAAAAACATATATGTGACATGGCCCCATATCTGGATCTTCTGTACTGCCCCAGCATCCGCGCCCGCACATCAACCTTAGCTTCTGGCCTCTCCCCAACAATTCATGCCTAGCGTCTGTAGGGGATACAGGGGGCAGGATGTACTGGGAATATGAGGGGAATACAAGGGCTGGGGCGGGGGTGTGTATATATATATATACATACATATACATATATATAGGGTATATATTGTGATTTCACTGGTATATTGTGGTTTCACTGGGTACCCACTCCTTATATGGTTGCCCTAGATGCCTATAGACCCTGTCACAACACGCAATCTTGGTTAGGTTGGGGAACTATAACCAGGATCTCATCTCACCTCTGGAACATGTCATATTTGACCCCTTTGATAGGTTTGGAAGACTTCCTGGTGGATGGCGAGTTATCACAAGGACTCGAACAAGTCGCCAAAACGACATTATGCTCTATCCAACAGCCCTGCAGTTATGTCTCTGAACCTGGGGCGCCTCCAGACATTCAAGGGGAAGTCCCTATGCAAGAAGTACGTGGACAAGAATGGAATACGAAGGTTTGTTGGCACGAAGGCTTTGAAAAAGTCTGAGTCCGATTCTTAGTTGCTTCCACATAAGACCAATCGCAAGTCCTGATCCTGGTCCGATTGCCCCAAAATCTTCAAGCTACACGTAGCCTGGGTGCTGGATTACGTTAGAACCCCAAGACCTATATAAGCCCGAGGACCTAGGCTGCTTTGGTTGCACTGAGGCCTTGAAGACCCCTCTATAAAGACTCAAAGCAAGCTGCGTCAGCCCTTGCCTCAACCCACCTATAGATCCTAGATCCCCCAACCTCGCGGCACTCTATCACACCCTCCTCAACCTTAGCAGATCGAGCTATATATAGGTTATCAATATATGCTCCAAGATCTACCCAGAACCATTCAAATTGAGGTGACCGAAACCTGGTTGGAACAGCCCACTACTTTTCAAACTTTAGAAGGGCCAATAAGTATATGTATATATCCCACAGCAGGCTTTGGTTATCTTGCCACAACATCTCCCTGACATCTGTTTTTTATACCAGAACTCGGGGTTGGAGCGAATGAAGGCCATGTTGATTAAGGCTGTCAGGTAGGTTCTTGACAAACGGCAACCCCGACCTCAAGTCAACAGAATACTCAGGCAACAACCCTGAACCCCAAAAGATACATGAGCCTAGCTACAGCTGCCTTCCTAACAGACACTCAGGGAATACCCGGCTGAGTTTGGGTACAAGTTGGGGCAGATCATGAAGGACCTCAAGACACGTCACTTTGGAACTCCCGAGAGTCAGGGTGGTGTCCCGGCTGCGGAAGACACGTTTGCCGCGATGGAGTTTGAGGACATGTGGCCTGAGGCAGATCTTGTCTCAGTGTGTCATTATGTCAGAGCGGGCAGCAACCTGCACATACCTGAGAGCTTCCGAAGGGTTTTGCCTCAGATCCTCTAGGTGCAAGAAGACTTCTTTCATGGTCTGTTGAGGGTAAGACAATTTTAAGTTGGGCCAAGGTGATTCCAAGAGCAGGAGCGCGTAATCTACCCGTAATTGCCCGTAACTGCGTAATTTACCCGTAATTTGCCCGTAATCTACCCGTATTTTGCCGTAACTTACCTGCTTTTTTTACCCCGTATTTTCCAACCCGTATTTTACCCGTAATTTGCCCATAATTTTCCGTAATCTGCCCATGAAATATTATGGGTAAAAACAGCAAAATCAAGGTAGAGCACATCTTGGATTTTCCTAGCCCAAGTAGCATATGCTTCGACTTCACCCTTGTTTTACAAGGACCTTACGTGCACAATTCGTGCAATTTGAGGGTATGTGTGAATGCACACATGCCAGCTGCAACCTATGCTGCAAAGTGTTGCAGCAGATGCCCGCCCATGAGGCAGTCAAAGTGTCATGTTGCCCTCGCAATTGTGCAATATACGGCTTGACGTTGCAAGGAGAGCTTGTCATAAACCGAACATGTTGTTGGTCGTCCACTAGGGTGATCAGAGGTGCCAACACTGGCATTTAGGGGTAGTCTTGTGCGCCCGAGTCACAATGATGGATGCTTTCGCTGACACAGCGGCCCCGCGTCCCTTGGAATCACGGAAGTTCAGCTGTCAATCCCTCATGGATGGCCTTACAGCCGTCTTGGAAGATGCTAATATTGAACTGCCCGATGATTTGGAGCAACTTCAGGAGATAGGGGTGGTAGCTTGTGTAGAATTCGTCCTCTCCTAAGAACCCTATCTAGACAATGAAATACGCAGGAGATGGAGCGGGCACTCATGAGACTTGAAGGTTTCGAGCCTGAACGCTTGCCGAAGGCCTTACTGCGACTACCCTGTATTGTTTGATGATGTCAATTAAGGCCTTTTGAACCTCAGCAACCAAAAACCCTGATCGTTTTGCCGCAGGCAGCTGACCTCCTGGATGCTGAGACAGTGCCCGCTACTATGTTGAATGAGGATGCTTCCTACTTGCAAATTAGTGTGGGGATTCAACTACCATATGCAAACACGTGGGATGGATCTACACAGTTTCATCAGAGTTGTGGGAAGACCAGGCTCGGGCAAAGGAGGAGGACAAGGTTTGGGCCTCGCAGGTTCAGAACCGCCTTGAGGCAGAGAGGTTTGAGGCCGTCAGCGCGGAAGTCGCGGAAGCCGCGGCGTGCGATGACTCCAATTCCAGCCAGACTGGAATGCCCTCGCTTCCTACGACCCTGTCAAGCAGCAAGGCTGCGTGGCGCATGTAAAGTGTGTGTGGCGGTTGAAGTCTTAACTCATCTCATTTCTCAGCAGCCCTGCATATTCGTGAAGATGGTCTCACTTTCTGCAACACTAGCACTAGCAGACCTCCATACCAGTACAGGCCTAAAGGTAGGAATAGGCGAGGTAGCTCAAGAATTCAACAATTACGTGGACTCAGGGTTCAAGGTATTTTTCCACTTCTACCTACAATGTAGGGTCTCTTTAGATTAGGGTTGACCTCGAATAACCAGTGATGGATCCCCGCAATTAGTAGTTATGGTCCCCAAGATTACCAGCTATGGGTCCCCACAATAACCAATCATGAATCCCGTAAGAATCAGTTATGGACACCACAATAACCAGTTATGGGTCCCAACAATACACAGCCATGGGTCACACACGAAGCAGTCATGTGTCCCAGTTATGGGTCCCCACGATAACCAGTTCTGGGTCCCAGAATTACCAGTTATGTGTCCCCACAATAACCAGTAATGGTTCCCATCATTACCAGTTATGTGTCCCACAATACATAAGCAAGTATGGTCCCCAGAATAACCAGTTATGGGTCCCCACAACAAGCTTTTATGGGTCCCAAAATCAACAGTACGCATCGTAAACTTCACCCATTTCGTGCCCGGCTAATTGGCTGTGGTGGTAGTAGTAATGGCAGCAGCAGTAGTAGTAGCAGTAGTATCATCAGGAGTAGTAGTAGTCGTAGTAGTAGTAGTAGTAGTAGTAGCAGAAGAGCCCAGAACAAGAGTAGGCGCAGTGGTGGGGATGGTTGTGGTAATAAGAGTAATCATAGTAAGTGCTGGTCGTGATGCTGGTAGCGGTACTGGTGAGCAAGCGCCGACACAATTGTTAACTGAACATGTGAGCCCCTTCTCTAGGATTTCTTGCTTGACCTTGCGCATGCAATTGTGTAGAGAACTTGCAGGTTCTGTGCTAGTAAGTTGACAGCTACCAGGCCATGCGCAAAATCGTTGCTTGCAAATGCATTTCCTACTGCCCCAAACTTAACCATGCACAAACTTGTAGGAATATGATTTCTTCCGTAAGCCCGTAAAGAGAAAGCCGAGATTCCACAGAATCATGTAGACTTGCCAGCGTCGCTCCTCAGATTGGGTGAGAGGTTCAGGATTCGAGGCACATATACGACCAGGTGTAATTAAGGGGTATATAAGTTCTGGGTTCAGTTGGGGCAGGCTAATGGCTATGTATGTGTGGTGAGTGAAGCAGCTTCACAAAGGAACCTTGATGCAAGTTCCATATTTGTTTGTAATCCTTATATACATCAGTCCGGCAAAATGTTCAAGACCAGGAACCCTCAGCACAGTAATGGAACGAGCACAAGTACAAGTAGCGGGAACACCAGCCGTAGCAGTGAAGGTAGCAGGATTCGGAGTTGATGTAGGACTTGAAGTTGCTGACCTACATTCTATATGTACAGTTTGGTCTGTTTTGGGGTGATATAAGCTGTGTTAGTGTGTTTTTTGCACAGAAACTTTATGAGATCTGCGTGTAGCTCCAAGGGGGTAGTTTTGGGTGCGTCACCAATTATGACAAAATATGAATTACAAGTATGGACCCCCCACGGCCCTTTACCCTCGATGCATTGTACTTTCCAATCCCCAGCCTACGCCCGAGCCTACCCAAAAGTCTTGCTTCCGGAATAGTTGAAGGTAGCTTTACTGGATATATGTTTCATATGAACCATGGATCCCTTGGTTTCAATGTCATGCCCAAAAATCCCCCAGGCCACAGCTCAAGACATGACATGCGTTTATTAGTATTAAGAGTAAGAATTGTATAGATAGGAATAGTAATAAGAAGAATGGGGGGTAGTAGTACTATTACTACTACTACTACTACTACTACCACCACTACTGGTAGCACTTCTGCTAGGGGCACCCGGTCAGATCCCGCGGTTTCAACCCTCCTACTCGAATCCTAATCAACACTACCTGTGGCAGGCCAGGCAACCATATTGAGGTACCAGAACGACAACAGCTAGGAACGCTAATCTTTCCACTACCATCTTACTCGCTAGTACTAGTCCTGCTCCTCGTCTTCCTTTTCCTACTATGACTATTACTATTCGTCTTACTACTACAACTACGCTTGCTGCTGCTGCTGCTACTGTTATTACTACTACTGTTACTACTGCTACTACTACTACTACTACTCCTACTACTACTCCTGCTACTACTACTACTACTACTACGAGTACTACTATCTATTACTATTGCTACTACTTCTTTTTCTACAACTACTAGTAGTAGTACTAGTAGTAGTGGATACGAAGAGGGATGTAGCAATCTTGACCAGAAGACGCACCAAAGGTACTTGCTAAAGATACAACGTTTTGATCATCCTCGTACCTCACATCGGATGGCAAATCGTATATATCTGGCCACATCAGGCCCAGAGCGATGTGGTCGAGAAAGTCCTGTCGATGTACAAGAGTGGAGACATGACGGCCGAAATGGCCGAGAACTTGCTTCCGGAGCCTCTCGGCAACTACATCAAGGAGAATGACCTCCAGATGATCAAGCGGATGAAGACGACCGAAAGCTTGTCGTCAGAGAAAAGCGACAAGGAATTTGCAACTTGAAACCGACAGGATTTTCCATGCGAACCATCAAACCATGTTGAGGACAGCGATGCGGCCGCCATCGCCAAGAAGAATGAGGCCTCGATCAAAGCCAAATTGCGCCGACTCTGCGAGGAGAAGCGCGGCGGTAGGTTACAGGTGCCGGCTTGGCTCCATGCTTCATGGAAAAGCGGCAATCATTTAGCTCTAGCGAAAGACCTCCAGCGTGTCAACTTTGACAAGGAGCGGGGCGGGAGCACATGGTTTGGTGCGGAATCTTGACAAGGAAATGGGTTGATAGGCTTGACCATGTTTGAAAGCAGGACCGTGCTACAGCCAAAGAATGTACAAACGCGAGTCAAATCTAGTAATCTAGTAGTACTAGTACTAGGGGCCCTGAAAATAGGCGCCAGGCGTAGCAAGAGCTAGGGCAAACACCTAACCGCAGAAGGCCTTCTCTGCTACCTCCTTAAGGTATATACAAATATGAGGGTTGGAAACTCAGGACTATTCATTTACACCAGCAGTAGTAGTAATAGTAGTAGTAGTAGTAGTAGTCGTCGTCGTCGTCGTCGTCGTAGTAGTAGTAGTAGTAATGGTAGTATTAACTATTTAACAGTGTTACTGGTACTCTATAGCACTAGTAATAGCAGGAATTTGGCCGAGAAAACTCAAGGGGCTCAAGTCGGGGTTGGGTGGGGGCACTTTCGCCCAAGCCTGGGATTCCATCTTTTAATGAAATTTTACCAGTCGCATTGGCCAGAGCTGGCTATGGGGTTTTAGAGCCCCCTACTGCTTCGAGGAGGTTATTTTTCAGTTTCCACGCAAAGCTTGCACATACTGACAAACATGCTACCTCCATTTGCTGTCTCTCTTGAAGTTGGTGCGGCTACGCAAGCGAGGACTCAAACTTACCGCTTTTACTGGTTGTCACTGATTGTATGCTACATTAATGATAACAATAATACCACAAATACTTCTCCCTTTAGTACTATCGCTGTCCCACCCCCCGCTAAAACCATCTCCAGGTGCACAAGCTTTAACAGGAGTGCCAATGATATTGAGGGACCTCTACTGTGCTTAATTCCAAGTTGTATATATACTAACAGCTAGTAACA